TAATCAGATGTATATTTACCACTTGGTAATCATAACAATTATATGGTATAAATGATTATCATTTTATTTTCATATATAATGAATCATGACTTATTTCATTATTTCTCTTAAAGAATGAATCATATTTGAAATGTCATGTTGTAGGTTGAATAACATCTCCTCTGCCTCAAAGTGTACATATTCTAGTCCTCAGACTTGTGAAATGGTTACCTTCTGCAGCAAAAGGACTTTGCAGATGTGATTATTTTAAAGATCTTGAAGGAGCATGATGAGGCAGATCATCCAGGGCGGCCCCCTGGAATCCTAAGTGTCCTTACTAAAAAGGGGCAGTAGCGTTAAAGGCAGAGAGGGAAGACAATGTCATGCTGGAAGGAAAGAAAGAAAGAGAAGTTGATGTGATGCATGGCCACAAGCAATGAATGACAGCAGTCTCTAGAATACTGGCAAAACAAAGGAATGGAGTGTCCCTAGGACCTCCAGAAGGACCTAGATTTGCTGACATCTTGACTTTAGCTCAATCAGTTGTTCTGACTTTAGAAATCGTAATCTTGGACTTTAAATTTCTGACTTCCAGTAGGGTAAGGTAATACATTTATGTTTTTGTTTTAATCCACTAAGTTAGTGCTATTTTACCACAGTTGCAATAGAGCACGACTGCCTATTTGGCACCAGGGATGGGGTTTTAATCTAATAAATATGTAAAAATGTGGAAGCAGTTTTGGAATTGGATAATGAGTAAAGACAGGATAAATTTTGAGAAGTGTTACAGAAAAAGTCTAGCATGCTGTTAATAGAAGAAATACAGATTTAAAGACTACTGGTGAGGGCTAGAAATAAATGAAGAATGTGGTAACAAAACCTTATATTATCTTACGGAATAAATTGTCATAAATAGACTGTGCCTAGAAACATGGGCATTAAAGATGTTAATAATGAGAGCTCAGAAGTAAGAAACATGGCAGATAAAGCTTATAACGTCACAGAGAATTCTTAAACATAAAAAGAACGTTGATAGAATGTGGATGTGAAAGACACTGTTAATTAGGAATCAGAGTGAAATGAGTAACATGCTAGTGGAAAAGAGAATAAAATTGATTGTTGTCATGGCTTATTTGAGTCCTACAGCTCTATAGAAAGTGAAAGTTGTAAGTGATGAACTTGGATATTTTGCTGAGATTTCCCAGCAAAGTGTGGAAGGTAAGATTTTGTTCCGTCTTGCTGTTCATAGTAAAATGCAAGCAGAAAGAAGTATTGAGCAAAAGTAACCAGGGCTTCATTAGGGAAATTATCACCCTATAAAATTGCAAAAGAGCTGAAATTAAGAGACCCCCCTCCCCCGTAAGGAAAAAGTAATCTGAAAACAAAACCAAGGATGTGTCCGGACAACATGTTTTTCTAGGACTGAGAAAAAAAAAAAAAGTGTTCTTCAATCACACAGAAGGTTCTTTGAAGATCTGAAGTATGAGACTCATGGGTCCACTTAGCCACCTCAGTGGGAGGCAAATACAGAGATGAGGTTATTTAGGAAAGAAATCTTTTGTTTAGTGGAGTGAATCCCCTAGTCATAAATGGGAGAGCCACATGATTCTTAAAAATGTGGTTTCAACAGATACAATGTTGGCTTGGACCAAAAGAGAAAGAGAGGGCAAATGAAAGAAGGCTATCGGACTTCCAAAATTCTATTGGCAGGAAATAGACTGATAGAAACCATTCAATGGCAAACACATGCTACCCTTCATGGGGGGGAAAAAAATCATGACCCATAGTGTAGAGCCCAGAGTCCAGACAAAAAGTTGGAGAACCACAGGGTGGGACCTATGGCCACAGTGGACTTCTCCCAGGTGTCAAAACCTAATGGAGGAGATCCCAATGCATTGTGAATTTACTTGGAACTGGTGACACTTTTTTTTTCCATTTTACTTTCTTTCTTTTAAAAGGAACCATAGCAGGCATCCTATGCTTTCCACACCAGAAATATCATTTTCTAGTTTTCCAAGGATATATTTGGAAAGGGATTTTGTCAAATGTTGTATTCTAGTTTCTCAAGTGCACATTTGGCAAGAAATTTTGACCAGCATAGATCACATCCAGAATCTCACCCATGCATGATTTAAATGATGGAACTTTTGAGCTAATGAAACTTGTATGAGATTTTGTAATTTAGTTGATTCTGTAATAGGTGGAGACTTCTGGGAAACTTGGGGTGAATGTATTTTGAGTGTGGAATTACTGTGAGTGTCCGAGGGCCAGGGAGCACATTGTGGTTAGTTGAATAATGCTGCTACACAGAGACATGCACATCTAATCCTGAAACTTGTGAATATATTACTTTATATGGCAAAAGGCACCTGCAGTGATGGTTAAGGATATTGATATGAAAAGGTTATCCTGGATTTTACTGATGATGTTAGAAGAACAATAGTAAACTTCAACTTACATATGTGCCAAAATTTTCTTACGGCATCCATCATAATCATCATCAACATGTTTACTGAGTTATTTACTGAACATGTAGAGTACCAGAGACTTTCTCAACTTTTCTATATTTTCTTAAATTACTAATGTTACCTTATTTAAATTACAGTTTAAGATAGATATCATCATCTTCATTTATAAAGAAGAAGCCAGGAGCTTCCAATTACACAATGGTCTATATAAAAGATTAAGTTTTAGAGAGGTTGTTATGTTTACGTAAATGAATGAGGTTACACAGTGATTAAGGAAAAAACCAGAGAACAAAATAATAAAAAGGCAAGATATAGACCTTAGAGAATATGAATAATTAAACATTAGCGATTAAGGAAACTGACTGAGTTATCACAGTAGTCAGTAATAGAAACAAGAACAGTGTTAAAAAATCCGAGGAAGGAGACACATTTAGAGGAGGGGCCATCTGAAGTAACAAAATATGAGCAGTGGCTATCTAAATTTGACAATTAGAAATTGATCATATTTTTAAAGAAAATTCATTAAACTTTCCATCAAATTCCTAAATACAACAGTGAGACAGATCTGGATGAGTTTGTACATGTAATTAAAAGTCTCAGATATTGTCTGTCTCTAATAAGTTATATATTCTTCAAAGTAGTATCTTTCCTTAATAAAGTCTAGAGAAAAATATACTTAATCTTAAAAACAAGCAAAATGTAAAATAAAACATACGAAGTATAATTTCTTCTTTTTGTCTAATTTGTTTTTGCGTTATTTTCTGACCAATATGTGACCTGCTGCTCTTCATCTGTTTCTAGAAAAAGGAGGATTACAGAACAGTCTAACAGTATAATTTTGTTATATTTCACAGCTTTTGTATAAAATACCTTTGTCATACATATGATTTATTTGACTAAACTTACTGAGCTGCTATTAAGCACCAAGAAGAGAAAACAGAAGATACTATAGTGAGTTATTTGAAAGCTTTATGTCTCCTTAAGTAGATATTAATTGTGTAGGTTCATCAAATAAATATAAAATTACCACTGTGATAAATAACTTGCAATAAGGTAAACACATCTAAATTACTATGAGGCCATTTCATATAGTGTTCCTTTTCTCATTAGCATAGCTGCAAGAACTAGCAGGCAGTAAAAAAAGTGCTTTAAAATGCATCTAATTCATAGATATGGTTGTTTGTCATTCAAGGGGACTATTGTGTTCTCTCACAAAAACATATTTAAAATATTTTGTCAGACATAAATCATTGATTTGCATTTACCTTCTGATATACTTTCAGTACATGAGTTAAGCTTTCACTGTAAAATTCTTTTATTTATTCCCTGAAATTTTATGTAAGAAACACATACTTGTTTTTACAATAAAAGATAATAGTAAAATAATAAAACATATATGATTTTGCAATATACATAACTGTTGAGCATTGCCTTTTAAAACCCAGAATGCTTTTTCATAGAACTCCCAAACAACCCCATAATTGTTATTTGAAGTTAAGATAGTGTTATTATTACAAAGCATAAAATACCTAAAAGTAATTAACCATTTGCCAAACATTTTTCTTTATATACATTAAGTAACTTAATAACATAATAAGGCAAAGTTTCTTTTTTAAATTTATACTAGAGTTTACATGGAGATATTGTGAAATTCACCAGTCCTTTCTTGTGAATGACTACTCTACATATGCAACAGTAAAATAATCACTTAAAAACGGAAATTAAACATACCTGGTAACTTTATTTCATTACTAAATGTTCTTATGAAAAGCAAGAATAATGATGCATTAATGTCATTCAAGAGGACAAGAAATTTTGAATAATGACTTTAGAAATGAAATAACAACACAATTAAGTATCCCTTTAAAAAAGCCACCAAAATGGTATTCAATAGAGACTATTTTAGCTACTTATAATTTTCCATTACTAAGAAATGAAATTAATCCTGTTTCTACTAAGAAATTAAGGGATGTTTTCTTTTCACTGAAGCATGTCAAACATTTTAAAGTTAACATCTAAGGTAAATAAACAAATAATGAAAAATTATAACCATGAAGTTACAGAGGAATAAGGCAAACTTTCCATTCATATCCAGTCATTTATCAAACATAAATCATATGTAATGTGCCAGAAATCATGTCAGAGAATGGAGATGATAAATTCAGCAAGATCCCCTCCTCAAAAGGCTCTTAGTTCAAAAGGAGGAAGATAAGAATAAACATGTAATGGTATTCTAGGTGCTGCTCTGGGAAAACACAGAACATAAACAGGTATTTTTTGCAGGAATGATAACCAATCCCACCATTCTTTTAATATTATTCCTGTAAGTGATAACCTGTTAACTAATCTGTGACTGCAGATAACAGGCTGTTTGCTCAAGAATTCTAGGAACTAACTTCAAGAGAAGCAGACTCTGACCTTCAGATACTATAGTTCAGGGATATTTGCTGACCTTCAACCGGTTATCCTAACAAACTGTGTTGACTTTCATGTAGTGCCCTCAACAGACAGGGCTCAGTCCCCGCCTTTTGATTTTCCTCCTCTCTCCTCATCAAAACCCCTGCCTGTACTGAGACGTCAACATGGTCTTTGTACCGAGAGTCTGCCATCTTCTCAAGCTCGTGGCCCTTGAATAAACCTGCTTTACTTCCACAAGCCTCTGTTTCCTGACTATATACTTCCGTCAGCAGGCAGCCAAACCTGGGTTTGATACCAGTATCAACTAAAAGCATGAAGAACCGTTAACCAGCCAAGTAAAGGTAAATGGAATTTCAGAGTAATTTAAAGATGTGATAGAAAGTACGTTACATGATTTTTCCTGTGGTATTCACTTTTTGTTGAGGGTCTATGTAATTTCTTATTATGCCCCCCAATTATGAATTCATTAAAGCCAGGGACTCTTTTTAATTTCAGTAATTTTGAACTGCTACACTCAGAATATTTAAATGAACTTACAAACAAATGTTCTCAGAGCCTACTTTCAGAGATTCTGATTTATTAAGTGGATCTCTCAAAGTGGGAAACTAATTGGGCCTGGGGAAATTGATGACATCATAGTTTAGGATTGATAAACCCAAAGGGCTTACATTGCTAAAGCACGTGTATAAGTCAAATATTGTCTAAGAGAGCTACTTGAGCAGAAGAGATGTTACCTAGATAAGCAAACCCTTTCTTAAATAGATGGGCTTGCAGAAATTTCCTGAAGCAATGAGTGAAATTCCTTCTTTTTTAAAATTTTTAAATCTCCGCTGGAGGATATGTTGTTATTGATTTTTTTTTAGATAGAGGAAAAGGGAGAGGGATTGAGAGAAGGAGAGAGAAACATCAAAACATCAATGTGAGGAGGCAACATCCAGAGGTTGTCTTCCCTGCACACCTACATCAGGAATCAACCCTGCAACATGTTGGCGTACAGGACAATGCTCCAACCAAATGGGCCGCCTGGCAAAGGCAAAATTATTTCTTGATTTATGGTTTTTTTCCTCCTGGACAGGAATTTCCTGAAACTAAACATTATGTTGACACAAGCTACCTCAATTCTCAGTCTTGGTTAAGCTGGGTGAATACCGGTGGTCTCAGTTCTTATCTCTTGGATAGGCTCTTATATTTTTAGATAAAGCTTTTAATTACTGCACAAATATAGATTTTATTAATGACTGCATTCTCATGGCTGTTTTACTTAGCAATGTAGTATATTGGTTACATATTTTTATCACCGTATTACATTTAAACATTTCCTAGATTTTGCAAACTGCTTGACGTGTTGGTTCACTAGGAGTGTGCGAGATTTCCATTTTCCATTTTCTTTAATATATATCAAGGCTTTATGTTGTATTTCTTTGATTGCAATCAGTTTTCATATTTATGGACCTCTTATAATTCTCTGGGAATTTATTATTGATAACATTTTAACATATTTTAATATTTTCTTTCATTGAATATATATATTTTTGTCACAGATGTTTTAGGTTTTTTCTAGTCATTTTGTTTTTTATTCTTGCATAGCATTGAGTTATGTAAATTTTATTTTGATACATTAAATTTGTAAACTTTTAGTTACTCATGTTTTATGTTTTCTTTGCCTTTTTGAAAAATTCTTACCTACCTTGATGTAATTAATTTTTTAAATTTTTTTCAGGTTGGTTATAAGGTATTGTTTAATATATGTATATTTTTCACTTATTTACTCTTTTTTACAAGTCAGGGATGTAATTTCAATATTTATTTTATTAAGGGCACCTAAAACCATGTGTTTCTCTTCAAATACTCTCTACTTTCATTTCAGACATTTTGATATACAGTAATGTATAGTCCAGTTTAAATATTTCAAACCTGCATTTGTGATTTTCTCTTTAACTTTGATACAGTGAAGAGATACTGTTACAGTGGGCATTTAAATTTCATAGATGTTATTGCTCTGTTACTTTTCTTGTTGTGATATTTCTGTGTTTTTGTTTATTTGTTTGCTATTAATTGTTTGTAACTAAGGAAGAGAACCCTCACCAAAACCTGAATAAACCAAACTTTTATCTTAGACTTTGGGCCTTCAGAACTCTGAGAAACTACATTTCTGTTGTCTAAGTCACCAGGTCTAGTGTATATGTTATGGGAGCACGAACAGACTAATATATCAAAATATATTATTTTTTTAAGAGTTAATTTTATTTTTAATATATTTTACTAATTCATAGGCTGAACATTCATCCGTCCTTATAACTAAGTATAATTTGCTTTATTCTGACATAATTCTTTTAGTAATTATTTCTTTTACAAATGTTTCTTAATGGCAATTTCCTCAATTTGTTTGTTTCTTTTGTATGCAAAAAAATACACCTATATCTATTTCACCCTCATTCTTGAATGATTTTGCATGAGTAGAGAAATAACTTTGGCAAAGTGACTACTTTTCTTAATCAGATAAACCGAAATATCCTTTTGTCTTTGTTTTTATGATATAGTACATGTAGACAAGAACTCAGTCAGTCTCTGAAATTACTTGAAGATCACTTCTCCATCCTCTCAGATTTCCTTTCATAAATCTGCTAGGCCTATGTTATAGTTACTCAAATATACATCCCTTACCTTCATACTTTAACTTTTTTGCTCTTGGGGCAGATTTATTGGTCTTTTATTGAAACTGTCTCCAAATCTCCTTCACTGTATCCAATATAAAAATTATTGTATCAAATACATTACATTTTGTTTAGCTTCTATTTAATAAATATACTGGGTTTCTGTTATTGTTTAATTGTTTAATATGTATGTGTGTGCATTGAAATATTTGTCTTATGGGCTTATGAGAATGAATTTATATATTAATTTTCTATGCTGTTGTATCTTTCTCAGTATTATTTTCCTTGACGAAATTGGTCACTTATCTCAATGATTCACCTTTTCATATATACAGGGAAAGGCAAAAGTAGCTTGATGATTATGATTAAGTGAAACAGTTTATTCTGGTATTATTTATTTATTAATTATTGTATACTATTGTATTGTGTCAACTGTAGACCTACTTTTACATATATATATGCTCAAAACCGTATATATATATAACTGTATATATGTAACTATATATACATATATACGTATATATACACACACATAGTTTTATAGTTTTTGCTTGTTTGCTTGCTTATTGCTTCCTTTTCTTTTCTCCTGGAAGAGCCCAGTTCAGAGCCAAGGATTCTTTTCAGCAACTCAAGCCTCCAACCTGCAATTATATTGTAGCTACAGAGACTGGCAGCTACAACCAAGTTTACCTGGCTTTCTTTCTTCTTTCTACCACTTCCATGTATAAATATACAACTTTACTTCAACTACCTCAAACATTATCTTTGCACAAATAAACATTCTCATCACTGTATAACAGTCTTAATGTAAGTGGAATTATCTACCTGTAGTATATAAATTAACTACTTTCCCCATTCCTTATCATATTACCCCACTGTGCCCCAACTTACTGTGTTCACAGATTTATTATTTTCTAAAATTAACTATTAAAATGAGAATTAATCTAGTGAGTAACATTTTTTTCAAGAAAAAACCTATCAACTACAATGCATACAATTTTTGTTGGAATTGAACAAACGAGAATGCTACTTGCTACTCTTACAGAAGACGGAATAGAAAGGGGTTGCATGGGAAAAAATCAATCCATGTGAGAAAACAAAATGCAATACAAAATGAGTTAGATTGGCAATCTATCGCAATAAGTGTGTAATAAAATAGCAATATTAATGGAGTTAAGTTAGAAGAGACAGGGGAGTAACAGGATTTCTGCTTTTAAAGACCTAGTTGGAATAGCAGGTCCATATATTCTCTCAATGGGTTTATTGTAAGCACAGAGCAGGGGAAACTTTTTACTGATACTCCTTTTTATTTTTAACTGCTTGATTTTTTCATTTAACTGAGTAAATTGGACATTTAAAATTCTAATTTTACAGCACATGATTTCCAACTGAAAAAAATTGCTTTCAAATATGTCTCTTACATGCAAAAAAAGTAGGTAAATTGGGAATTAAGTGTTCTATTCCTCTCTAAGTGGGAATTTTCATTGAGTCTGTGGCTCCCAAATGTTCTTTGCTCCTCATATTAGACCACTTAGAGCATTGACTAATTTATTAAAATTAGATATATGATTTATATATATTTATATAGAGGGATATGCCATCCTAGTTCTATAAAAGAGAAAAATAAATGCTAACCCGACAATACATGATCAACTTATTGACAGTTATCAACTATTTAATATTATAGAACACAATATTGTTAAATGTTATTTTAATAATCATTCATAAATGCATTTTTATAATGCATATCATCTCTTAATTTTAATACTGAAAGAAAAATATATCCAATGTTTTTATTTTTTACATTGAATAAGAAAAATTGTTACCTTATAAATTTCAACTGAAATCTCCATAAAGTGATTCTGAATGTTGGATGCAATATTTTAAATAAACTAAGCTGTCTCTAGTGACCATTCTTGAAGACAGTAGGAATGTAGTAGCTGAATGATTAATAGTTTTTGACTGCAGTCTCAATTAAAAACAAATAACCTTCTACTGGCGTTGTTTACTTTCGGACTCATGTATTTCATAACCAAAAGACTTGACCATGTTTAATACTTTGATTGAATGTAATCACATCATGATTTATTTTGAATTACTTCATTCTAGTATGTAACCTCTTAGGATTTTACATTTAATTTTAACAAGTAATTTAAAAATAATATTGGAAATAGATTTTAATATTGAAATTCAATAAAATGTTTCTTTAAAACAATATTTTAGCATAAAATATCTGGTATTTAAATACTTAAAAAGAGTCAAGTAAAATGTAAAAGTATTCAAGAGTAGAAAGAACAAATAAATAAGACAAGTAGCATCTGACAACTAGTTGGAAAAAAATGTTTTTTGTATCCATTAGATGTTCTCACATAGAGTTTATAAGTCTGAAAAATGTTAAGCATTGAAAGAATTAATGGTCAAAATTTAAAATATAGTCACTGAAATTCCAGAAGATTCTCTGCTGACATATTCCAGTATCTTAAAATACAATAAAACCACCACAACTTGTGTCTATTTGTGTCTCTGGTCTTGCCAGTGCCTTCATATCTCCTTGTCCTCTACACTGAGAAGTTCAGAAACATCTGGCTAAATGCTCATTATATTTGCCCTAGACAAAAAGACAACTGTCTTATGTTAATTGACTTGTACCCTTCTTATGTTATTGTCTTTCATGCTTTCCATCCCTGATCTCTGTGTATTTTAAAAATGTCCAATTTTAATTTAAAATTTATATATATATGTACACAAATATGCAAAGTACTCCAACTTATTTATGAAGCAAAATTTAACTCTGATATCTAAAATGGTAAATATCTTATGAGAAAGAAAATATATAAATCAGTCTAAGTTATCTCTATGTATCTAAAATGTAAGTAACCAAAAATTTAAAAATGTCTTTTCTGCTATGTAACTAATCATATATATGTGTGTGCATGTACATGTGTGTGTGTGTGTGTGTGTGTGTGTGTATCCTAGACAAATAAAAATTGTTTGGGGTTGTCATTACTTTTCAAGTGTCTAAAAGAGTTCTAAGATCAACCTTGAGAACAGATACTCTGCTGCATATGTCTTGCTTGTGAGCCTTACAGATTTGTAAGTTGTGTTTTGTTCTCTCCATCAGTTTAGGTGTCAGGAATGATATATGCAGTAATTTGTAAAGTAGTAGACCAAACATTGATGAGCTGACAGGTGTTAGGTATATGCTACCTTTTTAAAGATGCTGTATTGCATCTGATTAAATTCACATTTCTGCTTCAGCAAGATATCAGTCTGTACATACAAAAATGAAAAAAAAAATCTGTAATGAGAATGTTAAGTCTGTGTACCCTGAGGCTGTCAGTGAAGAGCTGGAGCAAGATTAGTTAGAAAAAATAATTTATAAATATCTGAGCCTCTAATCAGTAATGCCATAGTTACAAAGTTTAATGCTGGTATATGTAAATCGAGACATAGTATATATTATTTTTCATGCTCTCAATTAAAATCACTGACATGCTATTTACCCTAAGAATTCACAGTGGATAAAATGTAATGTGGAAGGTACTCAAAGCAATTTTAAGTTATTATGGGTCAGTGCTTCCCCGATGCCTTCAGCTGGTGACCTCTTAGCCCAGAACCCATCTCCCTTCCCAGGTAATGGCAGGAGGGACAACCACGTGTTATAAGAAAATGAAATGCTTTTACCTTCCAGAGCCCATGTTTCAGAAACGTCTCTCTTGTATCTGTACACTACTTACTGTGCTGAGAACTCCTTTCCATCTTGTACTTGAGACTGGGATTGTAACCTGCTCACTAACGTCTCCCGGACGGATACATTCAATACTGCAGTTATTTAAGGTGATGATGTCATTGATTCCCAGGTGGTCAGACAGACCACAAAGATTAGAGTCAGGATTATTCATTAGTATAAATAACAGATTCATTTTTTAAGTGGATATGAAACTCAAACTTTTTGAGTTTGGCCTCATCAGTTAGGTATAGGTTCCTTGGTGACTGAGTACAATTAACGTATTTTTCCATTGAGCTATTAATATTGAATGACTTTTAAAAATTTAAGTTCTATTATGGATTAATTTACTTTTAAGGAAATGCACATTTTCATGGTTTTGTCTTAAAACTGGTGGAAAGCATGTGAATAAAATATGTCTTAATTGGTTTCTTAATAACTATATATACTATATATAGCTACTTAATTAGTTAGAAAAACAATAGCCTATCTTCAACTTTAGATAAATCTCTCTGGAATTCTCACTAACTTTATTATCATAATTTAACTTCCAAGTTCAATTTTTATGCCAAGTCCAAAATTTCAAGAAAATTTGCTCAGAAAGAAGTGACTGAACATAAACATAATTTTCTTTTTGCTACAGTTCAATATCTGTGATCATTTTCTCACATTATTAAGTATATCTGCTAAATAGTATTATCAACTTATGCATATTATCTCCTTATGTTTTATAAGACAGAATTACCTATACCAACCATTTCATTGGACATTTAGTTTGCTTCTACTTTGTTGCAATTTTAAATAATATATAAGAATTCTAAGTGATATCTATTTTGGATGTTCTCCCTAGAGTTAATTCATCGCTGCCAAGTTACAGGGTTGTAAATTAGTTGTTTAGATTAAATCCTTACAAGTGAAACTGTTTTGTCAAAAAAAAACTTAAATTGTAAAAGTGTCCTCAAAAAAAGTGATGGCAATTTATACCAGTGAAAGAACAATGTTAGATCTTTAGTATATTAATAATAGTTAATGCTTATTTCAATTATTATTTTTTAAAATTTTTATTTACTGAGTGCTTTGATCTGAAGACATTTTGAATTATATATTGTTACTTTTGACATTTTTATCATATGTATTTTATTTATTTTTTTAAAGATTTTACTTATTCATTTTTAGAGGGAGGAGAATGGAAGGAGAGAGGAAGAGAAAAATCCATGTGTGGTTGCTATCACGTGCCTCCTACCAGGGACCTGGCCCGCAACCCAGGCGTGTGCCCCGACTGGGAATCCGATCAGTGACCCTTTGGTTTGCAGGCTGGAGCTCAGTCCACTGAGCCACACCAGCCAGGGCAATCATAAATATGTTAAGGTGTCATAAAAGAACAATCCAGATAAAAAAGAACATATATTTTTCTATTTATTGGTACGACATGATTACTTAATATATGCGATAGTACCAAAAATATGAAATGGGAAACTAATGAATAATAATCTTTATATTTATACACAAATCCTTCTGGCTAATTCAATGACAATTAACCAAAATAGCTTTCCTTATATTTTATTTTATTATTTTTTATGCTCACCCAAGGGCATACTTTCATTACTTTAGAAAGAGAGGAAGGAAGAAAGTAAAAGAGAAACATTGATTCAAAGGAGAAGCATCAATTTGTTGCCTCTTATATGCACCGGACAGATGATCGGCACCTGGACTGGGGGTCGCACGTGCCTGCACCCTGACAAAGGATTGAGCATGTGACCTAGGTAAGTGCCCTGACTGGAAATCGAACCCACTACTTTTTGGTTACAGGATGACACCCTAACCAACTGAGCCACACCTGCCAGGGCCTGTGTATTACCTGAAATACAGAAAAAATAAAAACTGTATTGTATACAGTAATTTACACAGAGTAAACATTTGTGTTGTATTGCATGCAGCAGTTTGAACGCAGTTAACAATCCACAAAAGAATTTAAATATAGTGATTTAAGTAGTAAAATTAAGTTAAACCAAGAAGAGTGATAGGATAAAAAATATGACCAAATTCTGAACAAGAGAAGAGGAGAGAAGGAACAATATAAAATATTGAGAAAGGAGCTTGAGATCTTGGGTCTGGGCCCCAGGGCCCCAGAGGCTCTATATGTCCAGAGGAGGTTTCAACTGTTGCATGAGAAGAGAAAAAAAAGAGAGAGAGAAGAGGGCCCAGCTGTGGAAAAAGAGTCAGATACATCTTCAAGTCCTTCTGGGGGCCCCAATACATAAGAAGAAAAGCAGCATTTCATACAGTTTGGACTCAACCAGAAGGCCCAGGTACGTGGGAGAGGCTGCTTGACTCACAGAAACAGTCCCATGAAGCCCTAGGCCTGAAATATACTCAGTGAGTGATCAGCTACAGAAGCACAACCAAAAATTTAGAGATTTATGTGTCTTTAGAGGACACACTCCAAGGCAAGTCCCCTTCTGCCACCATGCCAAGCAATGGGAGCTATTTTTACCAGGTAAGGAAGTTTGCACAGCCTCACTAGTACATGGAGGAGAAGAGGAAAAAGTCCAGATGTGGGAGAAAAGAGGAAGCAAAGGACGACTCTACCATTGCTCTATCAAGATATGGGGTTACTATTTATTATTATCTATTTTTAAAGTCTGCTTTTGTTCTATTGGCTGTTTAGAGAATAGCCTATCTCACAAATTTATCATAAAAATGTAAATAAATGAACATAATTATTTTTACAGAGGAGAAGATAAAAGGAAGGGACAGGCACAGAGAGATGGAGAATAACAAGAGAGGAAAAATTAAGTCATAGAAAATGAAAGAATGAAAAAAGTGAAGTAGAACTGGACTTCATTGGCTTAATCTTGAGATATTTACGTATCTCAAAAGTATACATTTTAAGAGACAAAATGAATTCACATAAATGGATATGTGCATTTAAACTCATTACTCTTGCTAAAGGAAAAACGGGCAAAAGCTGCAGTGAGGAATGGATAACATAATATAAAAGGAAAATACGTTGAAATTAAAGTCACTATTATTTCTCCTTAATGATAATACTAACAAATATAAATTGTCAACCATAACTGAAATCCACAGCATATCATGACATTCTTTCTATTCTTACTGTTAGTATTTATTTTGAATATTTATGCACAGAGAGGCAGAGAGAAAGAGAGAGCGAGAGAGAATGCGCGTACTAACCATTCTGATCATGGCTTACAGCATTATTTTCCAGCAGTAATTCTTTTCCTCACTCACAGCACGAGCTCTTTGCTCACATTGAGTCACTCTCTCTGAGGCACCAGCATGATGGCAGGGGAGCTGGAAGATCTCACCTCTCCTCAGCAGGGACTCATGTTGCACTGCTTCCCACTGTGCCTCCCTGTGGCCTCAGTACTTTTCTTCAGGCCCCACGTGTGCATCAGTCTTACTTTCATCTTTCTGTGGTTTTGCGCTGATACCATTCCTTCCCCACACTCAAGCCCGATGAGCTATTGCAAGGGTTTCTTTTATACCAATGGATTGAGTACAATAGAAAGCAGCCTAGAGGTAGCCCTTTGCATTTATTCAATAATAGAAATTCGTATAACTCTTTCATTAAAAACTTCGGGATTTTGATAATATCCTCAAAGGAATATAATAAAAGCAAGAGAAACTTTGTCATTTTATCCCTGACCATTTCCAATTCTATCAGTTTTATTCCCTAGTTTTCTTTGGTACTTGACTTCTTCCTTCCTAACACATTTTTAGGAGGCTCTAATATATGATTAGAATAGGACAAGAATGGGATCAGTGTCTCCTAGGGCTGCTGGATGCTAGACTTGCGTACTAACTTTGCTCCAAATTCTGTCCCACACAATTGATAACCCCAGTTGTTCTTGATATTTGGCTTGCCTGCCCATTATATGATGTGTGTAGGAATGTGGAAAATGAGTGTCTCTATCAAGAAAATAATATTTCACTCATTTCTCTCCTCCTTTACAAGATAAAATTATTAATATTACAGGCATTCTGTACTCAGATAGCTTCTGTTTGTATAAGTTATTGGCTATTTCATATGAGATTCCACGTGAAAACTGGAAGATGCACTGCCTACCTGAAAATGTATTTACACCAAGGTGAAGCTCTCTATCTCCCACTCTGTCACCAGAAAAACAGAACAATGACAACAACAAAATGTGCCTTGGAACAAAGAAAACCACGTGGGCTGATCAGTGGGGCTGATGACTAAACCTGTGCAGTTCTCCATGTTACCCAGGGGCAGGAGCCTTTGGTTACAAAGGAAGGAACTTCTGCAGGATTGCAAAGTGCATGATCTGCATAGAGGCCACTTCAAAAACTAAGCATGGAGAATGAAAAGAGAGACAGAGATGGTAAAAAAGGACTTCACGTCAAGATAAGCTTATGAAATAGAAAAAATAAAATGAAAATAAATAAGTGAACCAAAATTAAATAAATCCATCCTTGGATAAATTTATTCCAATGTATTAAAAATAACTGAATAATTTACAAGTGAGTATAAATAATTGTGCATAGAATATTCAAGAAGATAAGTAGGGAAGCAATGCCCCATTTCAAAATTATTATTTTCGAGAAAGAGACCTATAAAAGTTTTCCTTCCCCACAGATTTCAAGCTCCAGTACCAGATAAAATACAACAGCCTTAAAAATGGCCTTTATCTCCCTTCTGGTTGCTTTGTTTTTCTGATTGAACATGAACTGATAGATAATTTGCTACTAAAAAGGTTTCCAGAAAACAGAACCTTGGCGAATAAGTTCTGTGAATTGATTCTTAGTTATCTAGAGTTGTTTCTCTAATCTGATTAGATTTAAAGGCCTTATTGACCCTGTTTCTAGCACTAACGGGCCATGCAGTGGCAATCTATTTATTCAGATAATGACACAGGTATATTAATCAAATGATAAAACATTTGCTCCCTATGCCTGCCATGTTGGGCTCTGGTAATGGTAGGGTCATTAGTCCCAAGTCAGGGATGCTTTCACCAGGGTTCACAGCGATGGTTCTGTTCTTGTAAAAGTTGAGAATGCCACATAAAGCCTTTGGGCTCCTCAAGTCAGTGAGTCAACTGGGAAAGGAGGAGGTTATTGTACTGGTGATTGATTTTGATCATTGAGGCTGAATTAGGGTTGCTGCACTACAGTAGGGGTAATGAGGAATGTGCTTGGTATGTAGGAAAACTTCTAGGAGTGTTAGTATCCCTATGTCTGGTGATTAAAGTCAATAGAAAACTATAATAACCCAAGTAGACAGAGTGTGGCTCATGAACTAGGGATGAAGGCTTGGGTCATCCCAGCTGGCGGACACTCACAGTCCGCTGAGGTGCTTTCTAAAGTTCAAGATATATATAATGGACGGTGAGAGAAGATAGTCAAAAAATGCCAGCTATAACTATATGAACAGTTGCAAAACCAAGACTGCAATATTTATCAGCAATTTGTTCTTATTTTAATATGAATGCATTTGCTTGTGAATATATGTGTTATGACTTTGGTAAATTAACATTTGTTAAGTAGAGCCCTGGAGTGCTGGCAGGTGAGCCATGGATTTACAAAGGGCCACAGAAGAAATTGAAGTGGAGGGGCTTATTGCTCACAGGTTCTGAAAGAGTTATGCAGTAAGTTCCAGGGATCACACGAGGACGCCAAGGCAGGTTCCAAGCTGAGCAAGAGACAGGACTTAATGAAAACGCCTTTAGTAGGGGCCATGGGTACAGTGTTTTGGGTTCCCAGGCTAAGGCTGGATAGAACAATCCAAACCAAGAGGGGAAGGTTTTTTATAAGCTCCACGAGGGTCTTATCTAAGGGGTGTGCAAAGGAGAAGGCCCTCAGAAGTGTGTGGAGGGGCTGTTGATCAGAAGGGCTATTTGGAAAATCATTTCAGGAATTCCCATGTGGTTATGACTTTGTGGGCTGCTGTCTAGGGCATGTGCTAGCATGAGGGGACTGATACTAGTTTAAGTCCTGACAGGCCACTTGGCCAAACAAATGGATGCTGCTGTGCCAACACCATGGAGTAACTTGGCTAAATGCTCAACAGTGAATATGTTTAAGAATTTCTCCCCAAATTTTCCCACCAACTACAATAAAGTATGTTTATAGGAGTTAACACTATCAGTATAGTGAGGTTCAAGTAGAAAATCAATGAACATCAACTCAAGGGGGAAGACAGCTTCAGTATCTTCTTTTGGGGAAAACATAAGCTTGTTTTCAGTTGCATGTGGGACAGTTGCACCAGGTCTGGTGGAGCAAGACTCTATTATTATTTTATTTAGAAGCTGCATATGGTTTTAGGTATCCTGTTTGCATGCTGGGTTTATGAGTTGTACTGTGGTGGCTTTATTATACATCCATGTGGTTCTGCTAAATTACATTTCCCCAAATTTCCTTCCCTATATATTCTGGTTACGGGAGGCCACAAGAGATATTTGTGTGCAATTTGAAGCAGCATCCATATTGCTTTCATAATCAGAGGCCTGTGAAGAAGCACCAGGTGCTATCTCAGCTCACACATCTTGATATTTATCGGCTGGCTCGCCTCATTGGCGTGGAGCAGCAGCTTGCCAAACAGCTCTCCCCGTTTCCCCAACTCTTGAGCTGGATGCACATTTAGTTCTGTGATGAAGTTTGCCAACTTTTTCCGCAGGACAGCAACATCATAAAATTTGGAGGTGGTAAGAAACTAACACAGTTAGCTTCCAGTTTATTAGCAGTTGGTTGCAATTAGTTCTTGCTCCTCCCCACTTTATATGCATCTTCTCTTCTTGACTTCTTGCCCTTTATACTTCAAAGTTCAATATCAGATGAAAAGATAAAAGCCTTACGGTCATCTTTTCACTCATCTCTCACAGTTACAAGCAGTCACATTTTTGCCACATTGCTTATAAATGTTTTGCCTCCCTGATAGAATCCTGACTGATACACAGGTCTACTAGATATTAAACTGTATTATAAGACTGTCATACCTTAAATAATAATTTGTTAGTATGTTAATAGACATTGGTACATAATAGAAAATTTAGATACGGAATTATTTTGCAGTAAAGCTTAAATATGGGCTAAAAGTGGCATCTCAAGATAGAGGAAAAATGATGAACTAAAACTATGTGATGTTAAAATAGCTGGACAACTGTTTGGGAAAAATATAATATTGGATCCATATGTCACTCTTAGATATAAGATTATATCCAAAATGGATTAGGAACCTAAATTCTAAAACAGGAATTATACAAATACCTGAAAAGGAAAGCATACAAGCTCTAAGTGGATTATTTCTATCATAATATCTCAGGAATAGGAAAAAACTTTCTAACTCTGTACTGAAATAAGAGTCTATGAAAGGCAGTATAGCCCTGGTTGGTGTGGCTCAGTGGACTGAGTGCCAGCCTTGGAACTAAAGGGTCGCCGGTTCAATTCCCAGTCTAGAGTGCATGTCTGGGTTGCAGGCCAGGTCCCCAGCAAGGGGCACGTGAGGGGCAAGCACACATTGATGTTTCTCTCCCTCTTTTTCCTTCCCTTCTCCTCTCTAAAAATAAATAAATAAAATCTTAAAAAATTACTTTGAAATTAAAAACTGTATAAATAATTTCAACTAGATATTTATCAACCACTTATTCTGTCTGTGAATGTGAGCAATTGCAATTTCCCATCTATAAATATGGTTAATATGATTATGTCTAATACACATGTAATAAATATGAAATATATCATTGCATGTCAAGTAATTATAGGCATAAAACATAGCCAGAGAAAGAACGAAATATGTGTTACTGTTTTTTGATTGGAATTATTTTCGGTAGCAGGCAAAACAGCAGCATTAACATTAGTGTGGGTACAAATACCAGTAGTAGATTATACTATTAGAGGTTTAAGACAATTTTATCTTAAGGAGGATTAAGAAGTGAGACTATGAATATATCCATGGGAAAAATATGGCTTAAAATCATGACTGAAATATAGAAGCATTTCTGAGTTAAAATATGAGTGCTAGCTGATTAGTCTGGAAGGTCTGTGAAATAAAATCAACAGATTTAAAAGAAGCTGTGATAACGTTTTGAAAGACACATTGAGCAGTTTTTATGAAAAGTAGTTAATTAAAATCACTCTTAATGGAAGATACAACATTTAAAAAGATTAAAATTCTCTAGTAATAGCTCAGACACTAATTAAAACATAAGAGACATAAAAATCACTTTTGTATTTAACTCTTTTAACTGCTTAAAAGAAGCCAAATATAGTTTTCCTCTACTAATTACACAAGTTTCATGCACCCATAACAAAACAAGTTAATATGCTTTACTACTTTTTTCTAGCCTAACTGTATGCTTACAAATTGGAAATCATTGCACTAAACCTCAACAATCTGTAATGAAGATATATTGCTGCTAATCTCATATGAAGCTGTCCTCCACATTATAAAATCATGTCAAAGCCTACGACATGGGACTCTGTTTTTAAACATGCTTGTTCTGCTGTAGTTTTTTTCCTAAACATATCCATTATTACAGGAAGAAATAAACATGCCTTGCTTGTTAAAATAATTTACAAATTAGATAAACTTTAGTTAGGAGCAGTAGAGGAATGTGGGAAAATGGCACTTTGGATTAAGATCAAAGTCTAGGTAAACAAATATTATGAAGCTGTAATGAAGCACAGGATGTAGGACTGCATTTATGGTAGTTTTAGTTTAGCAAAAATGTGGTACTTGGATTTTTGAGATTCATATTTTTTTCAAAAGAAAGGCATATAATTTACTAGACCACGCAATATTATTAGTGTTAATTCTTTGGAGATGTAATTTCTATCAAACATTTCTGTACATCAAAGGAAACTGATATAAAAGAGTAGTTAGTAGGTTTAGGTCTTTATTGGATCAGGATAGATCTGAATTCCTGTGCTTAGACATTCTCTCTCTCTCTCCACCTCTCTCTCTCTCTCTTTCTCTCTCTCAACAGATTAAGCCTTGTCTGTGGGAAATGTACAGACACCTTGGCATTAGGTTGTCTAGAGCTGATGTACAAACTCTTTGTGGTACTGACCTGGGAGGGCCCACTACCTTGTGCCTGGGGACTTTGAGCACCCTGTGGGGGTATAGCTTTGCCCGATGGAGGAAGAATTTTCCCATTCCAGTAGGTAAGTGAGATTAGGTGCAGTCTTCCCTCTCAAAGGTGGAGAAAACAAGTGCCAAGTAGATCATTGTCCAAGAAAATCATGGCAAGTGTCTGAGTAGTTTTCTGGTAATCTTGCTTCCTATATCTCTTTCCCCCATTGTCTATCGCAATCACTTCTGACCTACACTGCACACCCTTTACAAAATGGTGAATCATTTCTCATGCTATTTGTTGTACTGACCAAGCCCTATTCTTTCATTGCTCTTGAGATCTCTGTATGCATTGAAAAGTAGTGATTCTCCCAAAGCAAGGAAAAAAGCATGAAGGTGGACGTGTGTATAAAACAACCTATATAGAGAGGGTGTGCATAGGGATATGTCATTGCTATGACTCTACAGAATAGAAGATTGGTTATAAATGAATCCCACTCCTACTAATAGAGTCTTTCTAAATCATTGTTTGCACACTGGCAGAAAGATATCATTAACCCATATCTCTATAGTGTCAGCATTTTTTCTTATGGTGAATTTTTTAATTGGTACCTTTTATAACCAAGAATATTAATATTTTAAAAAGTAGAGTTTGAGGTCCATTAGAGAAAGAAAACAAAAAATGATAGACTGACTTATATTGATTATGAATCGAATACCAGTTGAAGAGGAACGTAGTTCGTGTATCTCATGACTTATTATTTTTTCCTAGGGGAAAGAGCAAACGCAGTCTCCCACTACCACAAATTATGCAGCCGACTTTCCCACGGTTGGGGAAATCGCAGGGGCCGGCACACGCAGGGTGCAGGAGTGGGCCTCGCCCTGGGAGAACCACCTTCAACACCACAGCACCTCCCCTGCCAGGTAAGTATTCGTGACTTATTTTCAAATTGAAAAACCCGCTTACTGTGTTGTGATCCCAAATGATGTATCTATTTTTGTCGTAGTTAACTTGTACATTTGTCTTACGAATGACAAGAACTGTTGAATTTTAAAATGTTATATTTCATTCATCTCAATATTATAGGGTCTTTAAAATATTATTATTTTACTACATCTTTTCCAAATGTACATCTCATTCTCCACACAGTTTATTTTTCCTATACTGCAATAAGCATAAGCTATATGAAGATTTATGTATTATCTAAAGTGAAAAATAAAAGGCTTTGCTGATTTATAACATCTAAACATCTCTAGATGTTTTATGTCAGATTAAAACCATAATATAAAAAAATACCTCGCTAAATATAGCCCATCTATTTGTTTATAATCACTTCTCTTGGAAAATATTTCCCCCAGAATTAAAAATATAAACAAAGCAGAAATTAAAAAGGTCTACAAGTCATCATTTCAATTCGTAAACCTTCACCTAAAAACAGTATGTCACTTCTTTCATTTACATAAACATAAAAAAATTTAATTAACATAGTAAATACAATCTATATGTGCTCTTTCAACTTAAATAGTTTTATCATATTTTATGCTTATAATTAAAAAAATCTTTATTTTAGAGTTATAGGTTTTAAGTTTTTCTAATGTTTTCCTAATATATTCTGGATTCTTTTTTATATTTTTATCATATCCCATATGTGGCCACAGAAATATTTTTTATTGGTTTCTTTTAGGACACATATACAATCTGTATTATATTGTTTCCTCTAAGTTAAAGATCTATTGATTCTATGGAAACAGCAATTATGCAATCTTAATTTTAGAAAAGTACAGAATATGATGGTTAAATTGTTGAAAACATTTAGTATTTCCTTAGGGTCATATCACCTTGAGTTGATGATTACTTAATATATGCAGAATTGGCAGTATTTGCGGACAGTCTTTCAGACTTGTTCTGAATCCAGGAGAGCTAATTCTGCTGTTTTTTTTCTCCTGGTTCTCTCTATTAAAATGACTGGCTCACATTTTAGCTTGTAGCTCACATGGAGTCACCAGACTCTTCATTGCTTGTCACCAAAGTTTCCACTGTTTTTGAAAATATCCTTATGTTGGGAACTCCCCTCTACTCCCCAAATAGTCAGGTCTCTTCGGGACAGCTTCGGGACCTCTGCGGTGCGATGACTTGCCTCACCTCCAGGGAAAAGTCTCCGAGGCACCACCCCAGAGCGGGACGCAGCGGGAGGGCTCCTTTTATCTCACAGTAGTGTCTCTGCTTTGTGCTCAATGGGCTGGTCAGCAGCGGTCGTCTCTGCACAGGGTTTGCTTCTTTGGATGTGGAACCTCTAACCTACAGGCGAGCTGAAGGGAAAGTGATTGGGATTTACTTCTTGGTCGGCTGAGTCTGGCATGGAGTTTCCATCCTATGAGCGGAGTGGGGAGGGCTCAGTGGAGGAAGGAAGTCCCTGAACCTTCAGCTGCCCTTGCCTATAATTTCACACAGAGTTGGGTAGGTTAGAAATGCTGATGTCTTGCCTCCCCTGGGAAGGGACTGTTGTCACTGACCAGTTTCATACTGCCAGAAGAGTTAGTCTTTCAGTTACACTTAGAATGTAGCTTCGATGCCATTGCGTGTTGGGTAAGAGGAGCATGGTTCATGACTCAAATACCACAGACTCTTAGTTTTACTAGATTTAGTCAATTTTTCTCAATACCTGCTCCTTGATTTGTCATATACCCTTAGGTCAATTTGTGGCGGCTTTAAAAAATTATTTATTTATTTATTTGTCTAATTTTCACCAATTATGGCTCTTTCATCTGGGCAAAGATACACAGAGGTTTGCAAGATAAAATTCCAGAGGTCATCTGTCCCAAATATTCTTTTGAAAACATGTTTATGTAAGCTTCAGAGCTGAGGTAAAATAAAGGAGAGAGACTGAAAATACATTGTAAGCACAGTAAATGACATAAGCAAAGTTTCCAATGAGGTTATAAATGCAGGGAGTATTTGAGGAAGGGCAAGCAGCTAGTCCAGTTTTGTAGCATATACAGGTATTGAAAGAAGAGATAAAGGAAAATGTTGGAATAATAATTTCTGCCAAGTAGTATAGAAAGATATATATTTAATTTTGAAGACAATATAGTAATATTAATCATTTTAACATAATAGATTAACATTTTATCAGGGAACATATCTATAGCTCCCACAAAAGAGAGAAGAATGGATAAACACTTTATTGTGTTTAAATATTAACACATATAAATACATGTATATATAGATATGCAATGATGTATTCTATGAATGCACAATGGCCATAGAAATTACTTTCTTTAAAGCTGGTTAAGAATTTCAGTGTTATTTAAAGTTTGAAATGAAGAAGGTAATGAACTTAAAACTCACAGGGAGCTCATCTTCATGACATAAATTCCCTAGTGAACAATATTTTCCTTTTAATTTTTTCTCATTCACAGGTCTCATTCAACACATACGGATGTTGTGTGTGCATGTGTAGAGGGGGCTCACTTGGGTGGACTTACCCCTGTGTGCGTCAAATTAACCCAGGAGTAAAAAACCCCATCACTGCACTATTAATATATTCGACTCAGTGCCTTCCAGTTCTCATTAGGGAAGACTCTAAAAACTGAAATCCAAATGGGCCTTTTAGAGTAGATGCCTGCCTCAGACGATAGTGTCAGAGCCTGGGAACTGACACTGAATGAGAAGCTACAGAGGCTACATAGCCAGTCTCCAGAAAATCATAGAGGAATAACTGGTTTCCATAGTAAAACGTCATTAACAATTACAGACACTTGCACACAAGCAGCACGTAGCTGAAAGTTAAAGCCATGGTTGAGAGTGATGCAGATGTTCTGAAAAGTAATTATTTATTCTGCTCGTGCTCTTTTTGACTTGACCTTCTTGTGTGTGGAATGATGACATTCCTACTGGCAAAAATTTAACGACTTCATATGGGAGCAGAGGGAAAAAGAACGAATAAAATGTCAGCTCGTTGCTGTGCTGTCACTGCTGTCTTTCCTTAACGTGGTTGCTGACAGCCAAAATTGAAAATGTGCTGCAGCACCTGATGTTCCATAGATACTGCATGTCAGAGGCAGAGATGCCGTGACAGGTTAGGAGATCAGGGCAAGGGAAATAGCAGGGTACAAAAACATCTGAGGCCAAGGCCACTTGTCTATTGCCAAGAAAACTGAGAAACAGTGTTTAAGATTACTCTTCTCCCCTCTGTTAATACACCATAGTGTAAGAATCTCTCCAAATGACTGATACATCGTGAAGGAGGAAAGCACTCGCAAAGCATGAGAGGCTTAGATTCCTAATGGAGAGGAATTATTGCATTGTAAACTGACTGCCAAAACACACACACAGGGAGGTCTTTGTAGAACATGAGTAATCCTAGACATAAAATAAAGACATGAACTAGACGTGATCTTTTCATTGATGTTTATTCAGATTGCGTGTTAATTCAAATGATATTTTTGTATTATCTGGTCCTTGACCAAAAAAGTTTTCAAGGCTTGGCTTTGGCTACTGTCTTCGTCACCTGGTTTTCATGAGGAACAATTAAGGACAACAGTCCTTAACTCTCTTAATATGCTCTCCATATCCCCCCAAATTTGCAGTTATTATAGTAAATATTTATTTCAACTTTAAGGTATGTTTTATAATGTGCATAATCTATAATGACTATATATGCATCTATGGTATACATAAACTATATTCATAATATACATATATGTCTATGTACAATACATACATATATAATTTTAAGTAAATATAATTTTATAGGACTATGATTAATTTTATTTGTTTACTAAACACATGATCAGATAAAGTCTGAAGACCAAAGATATAGTAAATGTACCAGTAATCTTTCAAAATTATTCCATATCTGCAAATGACTTCCAGTGTTCTTCACATGATACTGGTAATTTGGGACCTAGATTAACAACCTCCTTACTGCACATCTCCTGAAGCCTTAGAAATATGATTTTTTCCTTTGTTAGTATGTGAAAAACTGTTTTGTTTTGCCAAAACAAACTCTGGAATAGATTCTTTTCTATTTAGTAATTTTTTTCTTACATTCTGGAATGTTTCTATCTTCATTTAGAAAAAAGAAAGCAGATCAACATAAGTGCAACTGTAATCTTTCGATATAATATTTTTGTCAAATATGACAACCTCTTTCAACTTCTAGAATTGTCCTTTGTAAATTTTGTAATATGCAATATAAAAATGTAATTTTCGATTAGCGTTTTTGAACAATTTGTTTCTTTTTATAGAAATGACTACTGATAAAAGTTAGGAAAATTCTTAATAATAGTCATTTTTTAATTAGAGGCCATTATATTGTAAACATTGTGTTAGGTTCTTTTTAAATACTATCTTTAATCCCCAAACAATGAAAGTTAGATATTATTTGCCTTATTATATAAGTATCCATCTACACACAATTAATAGATTAATACCAAGACATTTTGTCCCTGAAAGCCTATATATTCCCACCTCGAGCTTTATTACAATATAACTGACATGTAACATTGTGTAAATTTAAAGTGTAAAATAAGTTGATTTGATCCACATATATTGCAAAATGATCACCAGTACAGCATTAGTTAACACTCCAATGTGTTGCACGACGACCATTTATATTTTGTGCTGAGAACATTTAAGATCTACTCTCTAAGCATTTCAAATTTGTACTACAATATTTTTTAACAATAAACACCATTCTGTACATTATATCCTCAGAATTTATTCATCTTATAGCTAGAAGTTTATTCTTTGATTGCCACTTTCCCCATTTTTCCCATTTCCCAGCTCTTGGAAGCTACCACTTTACTCTCCATTTCTATGAGTTTGGCTTTTTTTAAAAAAAATTTTATTTGTTTGTTTTCACTATTTTACATATAAGATAATAAAGTATTTATCTTTCTCTTTCTGATTTAATTTATTTAGTGTTCT